TTCTACACAACTCGTCTACTATTATCTATTCTTTTATACTGGTTATCCTTACATTCCATCTAATATATTTAACTACCCCTTCACAATTTGCTTCAAAATGTCCACTAATGTGCACATAATAAAACAACTCCTTCCCACAGCTTCTTTCATTATTGAAATTCATTTTTCATTACATTAGCTTCACTAATAAATATTTACTCATTTATTTCATCAACTCAATTATTTACATATGAAAATAAAAACCCGCGACCTCCTGTCTTCCCAACATCACTTTAGGGCTTGACAACTTCAATACCTAAAATCATGACATCCTCATTCCCTCCTTCCGCGACAACACCTGAACCTTCACACTCAAATTAACGGCCATTATCCCACCCACACTTTGCCAAACCACTGCACTGCTAACCCTTCCCTATTGCTACCAACACCATGCACTGCAAATGAGTGATGGCCAATCACACTAGAAAAACAAAAATATCCCACCTCCAACTAACCACAACCTCCTATATTGTGATATCTTTCATCTTTAACTATACCTCCTATTCCCTCCCTTCCTCCAGCCTACCCACCCATACAGTAAAGATGAAGATGAAGAATATCACAATGCACAACTCTTATAGGGAAGAATAGAAGAAGAGTTTAGTCAGTAAGTTACTCGCTTCATTGCCAATGTTGGAAGATCTTCTATCCCAATATCACACACACGTTGGGTCTTCCTTCTCTAGCAGCTCTCCCACCACATAAAATTCATTGTCTCTACCTTCATTAAGGGTCAGGATGGCTGAGGGCATTTCAAACATTTAACCCACATTTTATATTTGTAATTCGGGACCGGGTCCTTTGCAGCTATTTTCTAAATTCAGTGTCCCTAATTGCTATTTTATATATTGGGGGTCTTTATTTGCAATTTTCTCATAATTATTTTGAAATTAATTCTTTCACTTCTAGAGCCTAGAAATAATTTTAGAATCTAAAATAAACCTTCAAACAATTTTCTCATTTTTTTTCAAAATTATTGAGGCCTCTATATATTTTAAATAATTGTTTCCAGCCAATTTTTCACTGTTTAACAAGAAAAACCTCAATTTACAGAAAATTATGCAATAAATCATTTTCATACTATTCTCACCTCCAACACCTTAAATATGGTTCTAAACTCTCTATTTTATTTTTCTATATTTTTTGAAAATTTTTTGAAATTTTTATCTAACTTTCCCATTTTGCCCTTCATAGACTAATAATTTCAAAAATGTCAATCTGGTTAGGGGTAAGATCTCAATTCAAAAGTTAGTGTGGCTCTAAATCTACTTTACTACTTGGCCATCTATCTAATTTGTTATTCACACTCCCAAGATTAAAATTAGTGGGATGTGACAAAGAGTATCATTCCCTTTTTAGGCATGTTATATAATGTCATGTAAGGTTAATTGTGATAAAAAAAAAAAAAAAGGGTGCTAGAACATGTCGCAGTGTTATTGAGTAAGTTAGGAGCTGAAAAAAAATGATACGACATAAAATCGTAAAACAGGTGGAGGAATAGCCAAGAGTATAATTATTTATGAATTTTATTTTATTTTGCCTCCCTATTTTAATACAAATTTGATGAAGGGACATGTATGAAATTGTACATTTTGTTAAGGGTTAAGTTCGAGAGAATGAAATTATTTAATAAAAAATCACTATTTTTGTACATGTGTAATAGTGGCATATTAGGTGTCCTTTGAGGTTGCAATGGAATTGAATGAGGAGGACACTTAATGGATTTATGTGGCAAAATCACAAGGAAAGTGAAGCAAGGTTAAAACAAGTGTCCATGACAAAGGTGAATAGTAAATTAAAGGAATTACCAAAAGGTAAATTTGGCTTGCATTATAAATGTCACACCTCCTTTATTATCACATTATACATCAATTAGAACCATTAGGAACTATTATTCAAGTCTTAAGTATGAGAAAATTTCAATTTCACAATTCCCATTTTCAGATTTCTGTACACTATTCACAGCAATTTAGGCCAATTTTGAAAATTCATAACTAATTGCAGAAAAATCGAAATGGGGTGGTTCCAAGGTCTATAGAAAGCTCTTGACATGATATTTAGAGAAAAAATACATTAGTATACAGATCTCATACATCATTCTTAGATTTTGTTCAAAGTGATACTGTTCATTTGGTCATTTTTTAACTTTTTAGGATTTATGCCCAACTTTGGAAGGACATAACTTTCTGTACAAAACTCCAAATTTAATGAATTACCATTTGTTCTTGAAGATTGAGGGAAAGAAAGCTAGACAAGTCCAAAGAGTTTGAGAGGAAGGGAGACACCGTCAGACAAGACAAACAAAGAGAGAAAGAGTAAAGAGAAAGAGAGAGAAGAGAGAAGGATGTGTTAGTGGCAGTCTCACCCAAGAGGGGGGTGAATTGGGTGAGTTATAAAAATTTTACGAAATTAAAATAATGAACTAACAGAAACAGAGAGTGTGAGTTAGAAAGATTTCACCGTAGAAAAGTGGACACAGAATTTATATTGGTTCGGTCTCAACCACTTGACCTACATCCAGTCCTCAAAATACCTCTGAGTATTCCACTATGTTGCAAGATTGATTGGGCTCTTGGTGCCTCAGTACAGTAATCGATACTCTCAATCACTCCCTCTTACTGCCCATAAGGTTACAATCCCACTCAAGAGTCCACACTCTTGAGTTTCACACAAGACGTGATTAATGATGAGAAATATAAACTCTCTCACAGAGTGAATAAATGATAATCACTAAAGCTTAGTAAATGGAAGAATAGAGTATTGAATGTAACAGTAAATAATCAACAGAGGGTAGGTCACGTATTCAATCTGTTCATTTAATGCTTCTTCACGCTTTTTATAGTTGAGGTAGTTTAGTAACTGTTAGATAGAAGAGCTTCTAGCCGTTGAGAGTCCGGTTGCGTGTTTTCCCAATTGCAACGGTTTCTGCCATAAATGCTTCTGACAAGGTAGGTTACAGGCTACTTAGACAACCGTTAAAGAGCCATTGGGTTTTTCTTCATAATCTGCAATAATACATTGATTCAATAAGTTTTTCTTTGCAGAGTAAGATCAAAAACAGAATCGAACAAATGATAAAATGAACATTCATAGTTTACAAGTAGAATCAATCAGTTGTTAAATGTGTTGAGCAATAACTGATCATGCTTGATCGAAGTAGTGATCAATTACTGATTGACCGATCAGGTTATCGATTATTCAGAGTAAGAGCTTTTGAAACAGATAACTAAGTTTATCGATCAAGTGATAGATGAATGATTTATCGATCAAGTGATCGATAAAAGGAAATAGTGACATCATACTGGTATGCAGAGAAAAAGAAGATCAAGGTCACTTTTGATTTTGAATCTTTTTAAATAGAGAATTAAGACAATAATGAAGGCTGAGAAAAGCTCGAATGAAATAGATGATAAATTTTGAGAAACATCGTGGCTGGTTGAAGTTTAAACTGAAATCGCTCTATGATCGAACACTTGTTGATCGATCAGGTTATCGATAAACACGGTGTTATAGAAATAGATTTTAAAAACAATAATTTTCGAACACATTATCGATAAATAGATTATGGATAACCTTATCGATAAACAATAACTAAAAGTATATTCAATGAAAACACAGACTATGTAGGTTGATTGAATAGGTGATCGATTAATGAATGATCGATCAAGTTATCGATAAAGTGGTTTAATGCTGTAAAGTCAAAGAACTGATTTATCGATCATGTTATGTGAAAAACAAGGTAGACATGTAAGTGTGATAATCGATCATATTATCGATAATCTGATGATCGATCCGGTGATTGAAGAACAATAAAATAGGAGCGATGTACCGATGATCAATCATGTGATCGATAATTTGCTGATCGATCAGGTGATCGATAAACTGTTGAAATAAGTACCTGCACAGAGAGTGTTATGAACCAATGTTCGATCATATTATCGATAAATGACTGATCGATAAGGTGATTGAAAAATGGTGACTAAAGCATAACATAGAATGAGTAGAGCGCATTACCATTTATCTGTCTTCTTATCGATAATCTGTTTATCGATCATATGATCGATAATTTCCTATCAGATTTATATCCTTTTATTCGACAGATGTTCGATCATCCTGATTATCGATCAAGTCATCGATAATTTACTCCAGACTTTCATACACAACTAAGTTAACAATAATCGATCAAATGATCGATCAACATATTATCTAACAAGTTATCAATCAAAGTTTCTGCTAAGTTACTTGATTGTACAGAGATATGATCTATCAGCTTATCGATAAGTCCTTGATCGATCAGATGATCGATCAACATACTGAAACACAAATTTCTTACTTTGTTATCATCAAAACCTTAATCCTAACATTCTCCTCCTTTTTGATGATAACAAAACATAGGTGAGTGATATTAACTAAGTAGCATCAGATAATAGTAAAATCAAATAAAATCAAATAAAATCATATCAAAATGAGACAGAAAGGCAGCATAAAAGAAACTTTAACTGATAAGAAACAAAATTACACAACTGTCATATTAGTAAGCAACAACTGTGAGAAACATACATAACAGAAACTGAAAAAAAACTTAAACAACAGAATTAAACAGCAGAATCCTTCTCCCCCTTTTTTTTAGCATTAGAAGAAGAAGGGGAAGGAGTAGAAGCAGTGGGCATGGGCAGTGGAATAGGAAGAGGTGGAAGGTGAGAAAGTACAGAGAATGGTGGAATATGTAGAGAAGGGACCGGCTGGGGAGTAGTGATGAGATATAAAGTAGTAGAAGGAGTGGGAGAGATAGGGGGTACTGAGTGTGAAGTGAAAATAGGAGAAGTGGGTATAGGACAGGTAGATGGTGCAGGCTCATGGTGAGGAGGAGATGGTGGATGAGATAGTAAGTCCTCAAAGCTAAAGGTGGTGCTGGGGGCAGAGAAGTTATTGCAAAGAGAGGCCACTATCCCTTTGAGCTCTCAGATTTCTTTGTCAACATGGTCGAATCTCTGAGAAACCTCCTTTTCCAAAACTATCATTGCTTGGCAGTAAAGATTTAGGATTTTGGAAATGCCCTCAAATTTTCTGTCTGAGACTTCCCTATAATCTCTGGCAGTGGCATAGACTCTCCTCTCAAACTCTTGAAGTTCAGTTTGAAACATGTCCCTAATGGATCTCTCCACAAATGATGGTCCAGGGATATGAGAGGGAGCTGCAATGGATTCAGCCTCATCCTAAGTTCTAGAAGTACTGGCAGCTAGTTGCTTCCCCTTGTCTTACTGAATTTTCTTCTGTAAAGGTTTGAAGGGTACAGGAATCCTCATCTTGTTTAGCTGGGTGATACCAAAAGCAGGAACTTTTGTCTTGGATTCTCCAGGCTCAAAGGGGGCAATGTTATTTGCTTGTAGGATATATGTGGCCAACTGAAGATAGGGGATTGGTGTAGACTTGGATTTTTTTTTAAGAACAAAATCCTTCATTTTATGATAGATCAAGGCCCTTATGTTGATCTTTTCACCGCTGATTATTCTAGCCAGCAATAAATAATCATCCTGTGTTAAATGTGAAAAACTCCCGAATTTGTTGATCATGCTCCTTGAATAGATGTAGTGGATTATTCCATAATAATCACACATCTGCTTAGGTGGAAAGTTTAGCTCTTCGAGGTAGTCATCACTCTGCATCAAAATCTTATAAGCTTTTATATCATTCATATCTCCCCCTCTCACAGATTCTTGGGTTGCCAGCCACTCATTTAGCTTAGTACTAGTAATGTGGAAGGTTCGGCCTCTAAGTTTGACCCTTAAGTAATCTTCTATCAAATTTTCCTACTCATCATATTCTTCTACTGATTCCATATTACAGTAGAATCTCTTAATTACTTCAGGACAATATTCTCCACCAATTATCAGCCAATTCGAATAGTATTCCAGGAGGTTACTCAAGTCCAAATTAATTTGTTTATTTTTCTTTAGACTCTCAATATCCACAGACACCACAGGACAAAATCTTCAATTTGCAAAATCTACCTTAAACTTAGATGAATTCACATCTTTATCTAGGTTTCCAATTAATAGCTCAGAAAAATCAGATGGAATACCTTTAGTAGGAATCTATCATGACACACCTTTACTGGCTCTCTGCTTTTTTTGTCTTGGTTGCCTGGGGATGGGAACTCTCAAGGCGGTCTCCATAGCTTTCTGAACTGAGGCTTCTTCATCTGACTCAGTTTCTGATTCCTCAGTGACTACTAGTAGCTTGGATTTGGACCGGAGAGATTTTCTTGGAGGAGTGGGTTGCTTTTCGGCCCGACTCTCTCGGATTTTAAGGACTCCTCTCTTCTTGGATGATTCTTCCCTTACTTTCGGTCTATACCTCTTCTTAGTACCTAAGGGAGTAGTGTCACTTGGTTGAGATTGTTTCTCAGTACTTTCTTCCCGCTCAACGTTCAACTACTCCAGTCTCACCATTTTTGAGGTACCGAAGGATTTCTGAGGAATTAATCAGTTGAAGGAGTGTATTTCAAGTTCGATGGAGGTCGAGTAAGTGGCAAAGATGGATTCGAGTGGAAGGGAGTCAGAAATTTAATGGAATAGTGATTTTGGATTGTTACGTGAAACAGGGGAACGGTTTTGTTTAAGCTAGGGTTCGATAACTGACGGGGGGTTTTCAAAAATTAAACATTGTAAACTTCAGAATGATCGATCATGTTATCGATCAACGGATGATTGATCACGTGCTCGATAAATATGAAGAACACACAAGAACACTGGAGACAATTATCGATCAAGTTATCGAACAAGCAATTATCAAACATGTTATCGATAAAATTGATAGAGGGAATGCGTACATGGTCTGTTTTATCGATCATTTGATTGATAATCCACTTATCAATCAGCTTATCGATTAATGCTTACCAGAATTGAACGAAGTGTCTCAAAAACTTGTCACTCCTAATCGATGTTCTGATCGATAATCCACTTATCAATAATCATCGTTCTAAATTTCTTCTTTCTCCTCACATGCTGCTTTTATCGATCAGGTGATCGATAAATTTTCCCTTTATGGCATCATGATTATCGATGTCTTGTTCGATTATTCCATACTCTGTTTACCTCTGTTTTTCTTCGACAAAACAGAGCTTCCTGCAAAACAAATTTCTATCCACTCCGATGATTAAATTAGTCATTTAATCATCAAAACATTAAATCTAAAGATTCAAATTTGAGAGATAATATGAGATTTCTTACAACTCATTGGGATTTACCATTCCCAATTCTCTTCTAAAGTAGTTGAATTTCTGTTGATCTAGAGGCTTCGTGAAAATGTCTGCTATTTGATATTCGGTGGAATGAATTCTACTTTTACATCTTTCTTTTGAACATGATCCCGAATGAAATGATGTCGAATGTCGATATGCTTAGTTCGGGCATGATGAACTGGATTCTTGGACAAGCTTATCGTACTCGTGTTATCACATAGGATTGGAATCTCTTTCAAGCTGATTCCTAGATCCTGTAGTTGTTGTCTTAGCCATAGAATCTGAGCACAATAGCTGGCAGTGGCAACATATTCTGATTCTGTTGAGGAAATTGCCACAGTATTCTGCTTTTTGCTTGACCACGAGACAACGCACCCTTCGAAAAATTGGCATTGTCCACCGGTGCTTTTTTTGTCAGTCTTATATCCTCCATGATCTGCATCTGAGTATCCCATTAGATATTCTGCTCCCTTCTTTGGATACCAAATCCTCGAATTCTGAGTTCCAACAAGGTATCTAAGAATTCTCTTGACGGCTTCTTCATGTGATTCTTTTGGGGTTGATTGATATCTTGCGCAAATTCCCACACTGAATTGAATATCTAACCTGCTAATAGTGAGATAGAGTAATGAACTAATCATTCCTCTATATCTGGTCAGATTCACGTCCTTGCCCTTTTCATCTGCATCTAGCGAGATGGTTGAACTCATAGGAGTTTTTACACTTTTGGCATTTTCTAATCCATATTTCTTTAGTAGCTCCTTCAGATACTTTGTTTGGGATATAAATATGCCATTTTTCTTCTGCTTGATTTGTAATTCCAGAAAGAAATTCAATTCTCCCATGATCGACATTTCGAACTCTCCCTGCATTAGCTTAGCAAACTCTTGACAAACATCTTCATTAGTAGCTCCAAAAATAATATCATCCACATAAATTTGAACAATCAAAAGATCTTTCCTATTTCTTTTAATGAAAAGAGTAGCATCCACTTTGTCTCTTTCAAATCCTTTTTCTATCAGAAAATTGCTAAGTCGTTCGTACCAAGCTCTAAGAGCTTGTGTGATCCAAATACGTACTTGTCAAAGTATATATATTAATGTTCTTTTAGATTATTCAATTTTGACAAAGGCAATATTAGCATCATCGACTAAGAATGAGGAGAGCTATGTGGTTATTGTTCATCATCTTTCTCATCTGTGTGGTTATTGTTCACCATCGACACCTTAGAGGGTTCTTCTTCTGGATTTTTCATTGTCATCAACCTTGAAGATAGAGGGAAAGAAAGCTAGACACGTCTAAAGAGTTTGAGAGGAAGGGAGACACCATCAGAAAAGACAAACGAAGAGAGAAAGAGTAAAGAGAAAGAGAGAGAAGAGAGAAGGATGAGGTGGACTATTTGTTGAGTTGGAATATATTGATTGTTGGTTAGAATAAAGATAAGGTGGCATTTTTGGAAGATCAAATAGTTAACATTAGGGGGTACTATTTGAGAAGGGTGACATTGTTACATTTTTTATACTTCTAGGGTAATATTGCTTCTCAAAAAACTTCTGGTTACCCAGTACTCTTGAGTGAAAACTTTCAGGGCAAATTGTACTTTAATCCTTATATAAAATGAATTTCTTATCAAATATTATGCTTTTGTTTGTATTGGTATTTAGTTACTAGGATTCAGTAAACAAGTCTCCTCACTAAGTGAATGACTTGGGGTTGTATTTAGTGTAATCCTTAGAGAATAAATTTTTTTTTAATTTAACCCCCATGGCAGGTGACAACTGAAACATCCATCCTAATACCCGTTTTAGTATGTTTTTGGAAGTATTATAATTCAAGCAGATCATAAAATAAATCCATAGATTAAAATTTGATTCTCAGGTTACTATTCACTAGAATTTCAGATTTAGTCTAATTTTGAGAATTCACAACTAATTATAGAAAAATCATATTGAGGTGATTCAAGTCTCTATTTAAATATATTTTAATTATCTACAAGGAAAAATATAAATCTAGGCCTAGACATTCTCAATTTGTACAGTTAATTCTTGCAAATTTACTATTTATTTGGTAACAACTATAATGTTCAGTTTTTCTATCCTAACTTGAACAGTCATGACTCTTAGCACACATATCTATTTTAAGTGATCTACTCCTTGTTTTAAATTTAAGGATGTATACTTTAAGCATACCAAATTTCATGGGCACATAACATCGTTTGCCTCACTTCCACTCTATCAAAAATCTGTGGCTCATTTAGGGACAATTTATCCCCCTTGCATTAATAATTCATATTCATTTATTTCTTGTTTCATAATCATGCCAATATTACATAATTTATTCTCATGCATCATTATATTCAATCTTACATGCCATCATCATCATTTAATATCACATAACATTGAGAGGCATGTTCATATATACATTAACATAAAGATTACATTAAATACATAGACAGAATTATCACTTTCTTCTCTTCTTTCTTTGTTCTTCTTCTTTATGCATCCTCTTGCTTACTTATTAACACCCATTAGGGTTGGTTAAGGGAGTGTGAGATTTGGGAGAATTTTAGTAGCAAACATTACCCAATATGTATGCAAGACAAATGCTAAGTGAATGACATGCTTGGTCTCATACTTTCATGCTTTCATGCTTATAAAATGACATGCCTTAATACTCAATATTTCATTCATACATGGCCATGGAACATACAAGAAATAGAGCAACATTCAATGTTTCATATTCTAAATCATCATCAAGCAGCATCAACACTCAAGCATACATATCAAGCACACAATGAGGATAAGTTCACTATCTTGCAACATTAAACTTTCTCTTACTCCCTTTGCCTCCAACCAACTAGGTTGCTTGCTCAACCTTGCCATTCATATTTCTTGGTGTCTCATGGCCTTCAATTCACATTGCACATTAATAACCAATCCATAAAGGCCATGGAAATCACTAAGAACCCTTACTTTCAAACTTGATTCCTCTTTAACTTAAACTTTCCCTTTCTTATTCTTAACTTCTAAAATCGTTCTCTTGGCCATTTCCTACTCAAGTTTTCATGAGGAATCCAAATAGAAGCTTGGATTTAACAAAATCTAACTTCTTTCCTTTGAATTCTCATTGGCCGAGAGGTTAGTTCTTGGAATGAAAAATTTTCATTTTCAATTCTAATGCTTCCAAACTTGTTGCCTCAATTGTACTCTACACAATTTTTCATTCTAAATTTATTTGAAGCATAGTCTCAAGAATTGGCCTGGCCAAAATATATCCTTGGGTACATAACCATGAAATCTTTCACAAATCATCTTAAAATCACTTGATTCTCATTCATTTTAGACTTTTAAACATGATTCTAACTAAACATAATTGAATAGCATCTCATCCTAGGTTTCAAGCTTTCAAAATCCATCAAATCCATGGCTAAGCTCAACAAGACAAATAGCAAGATAAACTACATCAAAGATAAACTACATCAAAAATCATAAACATACCTTGTCATGGAGCTTGATCTTGTATGGCTTCCTTTGCTCTTTCTCTTCTCCTTTCTCCCTTCACATTTTCGGCCTCCCTCGCTCTTCTATTGTGTTAGCCGAAAATCTTGGCCATGTAGGAGGGGAAGGGGTATTTATAATGCAAGCCAAGGTTACCTTATGTTGATCCTTCAAATTCACCATTTACTTTAACCATATATACTTGTCTTGCATCAAGCCTCATTCCTTATTGATTCTTGCAACATAAAACCTCTCAGGTGTCCTCATTATTCAATGCTAAAGCCACCTTATGGGACACTTCATATGCCATCTATCATACATATGTGGAAACATAATATTTTATTATAAAATTCTATTATTCTAAACTTGCCCTTTAACAACTTGTATAATTTCATCCATATCCCTTCATCAATTTTACTTTGAAATAGAGAGGAAAATAAAGAAAAATTCATGCAAAGCCTTACCTTTGGCTATTTCTCCTCCTATTTATGATTTTATGTCATATTGGGTACTTTTTCAGGTCCTCACTTACTCGGTAACCTTGAAACATGTTCTAGTACCTTTTATTCATCACAATTAACCTCATATGGTATTATATAATATTCCTAAAGAGAAAGTAATACACTTCCATTTGTTCCTTCATTAAAATACTTAACAATATTTATTTTGGAGTAAACTTGACCAAATTCTCTCTCCATAACTCTAACAATAACTTAGGGTGTGTTTGGATGAAACCAAACCGTGGTTTGGAAAAGTGATTCTGGAGAATAGATTCTAGGGAGAATAGATTTTGTAAAAAAGTGATTTTGAGAAGTGAGAGTGTTTGGATAGTTGTTATCAGAAGCACTTTTTATATATACAAATTACTAAAAAAAAGACATAAGTTAATATGATAATTACAGAAAAATAGATTTTATGATATATTTTAATTTGAAGGAATAAAATTGTTAATAATATATTTTTTACCAACATAATTAATAATACATAAGATAATATAATTAATAAATAATTAATGTGTATATATATTTATAAAATATAAGATTAAATATGTTTATCAAAAAATATGTTTATAAAAAAAATAACAAGATACATATCATATAGGCTCTCACACTCTCCCTTTTTTCTCCAAAAGCAAAAAAATTTTGCTTTTTCCAAAACCATGGTTTTGGAGTCAAAACCATGGTTTTGACCCAAAACCATGGTTTTGGTTTTTAGAGGGGGTGTTTAGGTGATTGAATGGTTTGGGGTGTCACCCAAACACACCCTAAGACTATCTCTGGGTACCAATGCTGTATTTTTATTATGAAAAATTTCTCTAATTTTTCTCAAGTTAAAAGTCAACCCATAAACGGTTTATTTTGCCTTTCCGAATAGTGTATAAATAGGCTTTAAATTCTGTTAAAGCCAACCTCTCTGTTTTTTGGGAAGTAATCATTTTTAAAACCTATGATAATTTTCTAAGCATTTAATTCCCATTTATCTCTAATTATCTAAGGCCTCCTGATATTTTAAATGATTCAATTTCAGCTATTCATAATTAGCCGAAACCCTGAGAATTTCATCAATTTGCTTCAAGGATATTTTCATTATTTTTAACCCCATCAAAACCTTATTTACCATTTTTCTAGAATTTTTCTAGAATTTACCAGCTTAGTTTCCATCATTGCCCTTTTTCAGCATCAAACATTTTGAATTTGCGATTAGGTCCCTATTGGGATTTAGCCTTGAGACATCTCACTGAAGTTCCCAACACAACCTTTAATCCTTAATCATCTTCAATTTCCATACTCAAGCTCTCAAGACTTCATCAGAGTCTCTAGCTTGCCTATCCTGTGATTCCAGAAAATTCTTACAAAACCATTTAGTCCTTAGGAATCTTCTTGTCCTTTCAGGAAACTTTTGAAACTCCTGCCAAAAAATGTTTATAGACTGTCTATTTTAAGTTAATTCTGGTACTTCTAGACCCAAGTTTGGGATGTTACAATAACATGTTCAAAATTTTGGAAAGCTTAAAAAACATTTTGCATTGATCCATTCGGGTTAAAATTATTGTAATTTTTGCCTTGGTTTTCTTGATTTTAAATTCATAAAAAAGCCCTTGACTTTGGTGTTTGTTTTATGTGTTTTTAAGACTAGTTCAATATTATATTGCATAACTTCGTGAATTCTTGCAAATTTTTCATTTTCTTCGTTCACTATGCCTTTCATCGCAGCGCGTGGACACGTTCACCAGAATGAACGTGCACAGATTTAGGAAAATGAGTTTTTGATATTGTTCTTTGTTTGGTTATGCATTGGTGAGTTTTATTCTAATTAAAATAATGAACCCATTTATGATAAATTTCATCTCATGATTAATGAACACTAAAATGATTAATCATAGATATAAAACTTGAAAAAGAAACTGCCAATCTTAAACACAACTTGATGTTAAAAGAATATTTCTTAATCTCTTTACCTTCATATCACTATTCGCCTACAGCAAAAACATTGAACATTTTCAAAGAAAATGACGAAGGTTGAAGAACATCGAGAACTATTTTTTGGTGGAATAAACTCCTCTTTTATTATAGGTTTTAAGTCACTTTTGTAACCTACCCGATTAAATTTACAAAAATGTTTGATTAACAAACATATATTGGTAATGCAACTTAAAGAACCCAAGCTGAAATTACATCTAATTAAAGTTATGCTAAGCTATGTTAAAACATTTAAGGAACTAGTTTAAAATGCATCGTAAATTATTCAGAATCTTGTTCTGTTTCTTACAGTATCGATCATAAGGACAACGACAAGGAGGACAATATGTGTGTGTGTGTGTGTAGAGAGAGAGAGAGGGAGAGAGGACACTAGTGGCTATCATCATGCGAACTTTGACATAAAGGTTCGATTTGATTTGATTTTCATTTAATTGCTTGTGTGGAAAGGGGACGTGGCAATGAACACAAAAATTGCATTGAAGGCAACATTTTGGTTGTGATTAGGGATGGAGACTAATCACCTAATCAAACTACTCCAACTCTAAAGAAGAGTATATTACAATATTACAATATAACAGTGGTTTTGGTGTGATAAAAATAAAACATGTACTCCTTCGATACTTAATATAAAACCTGCTTTGTAATGCAATTTATTACACTCCAAAAAGGGGTCTTATATTAAGAACTGAATTGCATAACATGATCAAGAGAAGTGATTAAAAGGGAAGTGAAGGTAGTTTAATGGACAGTGACATGAAGCTTTTGACCTGCCTCACAATGCTTGCCGACATTACAAAAGAAGTAATAGTCTCCTGGTTTGTCCAACTTAATAACGGCGTCCCCTTGAAAATATGTGAACAAGGTATTCAGAGAGGTGCACTTTTCATAGTCCTCTTTGTTAACCTCCACTACTGTGCTCAACTCGGGCTTATAATGAAAAGCTGTAGTTAACAAACATAGTAGATTACGTGAAATTGTCTCACTAAGTTGTGAATGCAAAAGACTCAAGCAAAAAAATGAATGAAAAAGACCTAAACAAAAACTAATAATGATCAAGTCAAGAAAGAATTGAAAATTTTTAATCAATAAGTTTGGAAGTTATGCCAAATCCTATTGTTTTAATAAGGAGTTGAGTTTGCTGGCAAAAAAATAATAATAATAAGGAATTGAGTGTAGAGGCATTTTCTAGTGGAAGAAAATAAGAAATGGGGATTTATTAAGACCAATACCTTGGGCCTTCAAAATGTAATAGGAAAATCAATTTTAGTACTCATCACAATAATGAGACCAATAATACCTCCATTCCTTCACAGAAAAGCTAAATAACCAATTTACCAATATTAAGAAAATTAATTAAGTTAGTTATTTATAATAAATGGATATTATCTCCCTTAAAATATCCTTATTAATTATGTATATTGAAAATACTTCTCGATTGAAACTTTTTAACTTGTGCAATCATCATAGGGATTACTTAGAGGCAAAATGAATAAATATTAAAAACAAAATAGATTACAGTTTTATATTACCAAAGAAATTGAATTTTCAACTAGCTCTTATATTATAAATGGGAGATAATGTGTGTATAATATGATCAGCATAAAGTGGATTATTATGAATTTTTTTGATTGGGATGTTCAATAAGCTTATACCAGCATATACGGTGGGGATTCATTACCTTGTTATTTCAGAAAATCCATAAAACTTATTCAACATGTTCAGCACGTTATAGAGTTTGAATTATTTAAAATTTATAGGTTATGGATAGGCATATGACGAGTTAGAAAATAAGTCTACGAAAAAGGAGGGGAAAAACATTGTTAAGAGCATTATATTTTCCTTTGGGAGCCCAATTCAATATCAAATAATCAAATGACTTTTAGGAAAAAATGAACATAATTAAGAAGGAAAGAATCGTACCAAGAGTGTCCCCAACAGCGAAGGTTCTACTTTTTACCCAATCATCATAGAATGTTGGGTGGGAGGGCAAATTCCAACCAAAATCGCCTCCCACAATGTGAGCGGTGGGTGAGGCTGAGGTTACAGATACCAACACAAGAGAGGCAATCATGCCCAGCACGACGACATTAGGAATGTTCATTTTCTCCCCCATTGTTTGTTCCTCAACCTCCGTTATTGTCTCCTTCAAGCAATCCTTCAATACAAGTCCATTCTTACTTTTCTTAGAAAATTCCCAATTTTTCTTGACCTGGTCAATTCATTCAAGGCACTTCTCTCTGTTTTTTTTTTTTTTACCTCAAATTAAATCCAAGGGATGGGAGTGTTTTTAGTATCCTATTCTCATTTATATAAATATTAACTATTTGTTTCACAAACAAGGATATAAAGTTTATATTTAATAGGCATGCTTTATTTTTCTAGTTTCTTGTTTTTTTTACTAAAAAAATTGAAAACGAGGTTGCAGGAAACTTAAATTATATCGTATGAGAGTTTCCTACTCTCATATCATATCTTTACTGAGGAGTTTCTTGATCTTATCCTCTATTTTACTTTTTATTTAATTAAATAAAAAATTTTAGTAGGAGATTATCAAAAAGGTTAAAGCATGCTTTTATTCCTTTAACTTTATATAATGTTTTAATTTGGTCCCTTAACTTTAAAAAATATATCTTTAATCCTTTCACCCTTAAACTGTTAACAAATTAAAAAACAATAATATTAAAATTTTAAATGTTGTTGTTTAAATATTCTCAAATACTAACATATTAAGTTTAATTTTCAAAACAACAATGATTATTTTAAAAAATTTATTATGTAAGACTAACGATTATATTTAAGTAACTAAAAAAATACTTTTTAAAGTTAAAAGACTAAACTGAAATTTAGTATAAGGATAAAAAAATAAATGTATATTTTAACCTATAAAAAATAATGCCATGTTGAGTGAAAATGTCATATTAAGAAAACCTAATCATCATTCGCTTATTTGTAACGTCTCAAATTTTATTCTTAAAAGTAACATTAGGATTATATTTATTATGAACTTGAGATTTAAACTATATCAAATGTATTGTTTGAAGTTCGGGGGGGAAAAAAGTTTAGAAACATATAGAATCCAAAATCTGATTGATTTCAAAGAGGTTGCTATATTATATATAGGAAAAATTTCTTAAAAAAGGGTTAAATAACCTAAATTCTTAGTTGGGTCATTAAATTTTTCAATTCTCTAATTAGGTCACATAACCCAAATATAAATTTTAAAATTTCTTAAAATAATTTTAGTGCCCCTTTCACTTGAAAGCAAGAGAGAAGGCAAGAGGGAGGCAAACTTCAAACATTAACAATCTCAAATTAGGTTTTAATGCGTTTCATTTAGCTACTATAACAAAAAATGTGACCCTCATAGCCATGATCATAATCAGTTCTTATAATAAGCATAACAAAATCTACCTTCAAATTTTAACAATTTCAAATCATGTTTTAACATTTTATACTTAGCTATTAACTACAAACGCAATCCTGATAGCATTTTTCATATTGAACGCTCATGATCAAGTAAACACAATCAATTATTGCACATAACTATTCATTATAAACCCTAGATCACACATATAGATCAACCTTTCTGCTCACCCTAAAAGCAATACTCTGCACTATCATTTACCTATTTTCATGATACACACTTTTCATCATGCGGCAACTTTCCCTCCCTCCCAAAAAAAGCCCCCATCACACACAAATCCACAATCCATGCAAAGAAAATAAAGAACCAATATTACATGATCAAACTATTTGGATTAAGAGAGGAAGATTTAATATAAAAAACTAACTCACTGTTGCATCTTTGTTGGATTTTCTAACTTTGGAATGATAGGTGCCAATTTTCCCTCGTTCAGAGCTCTTAGGCAATGTGAAAATTATAGAAAATACTCATCTCTCTATGTTTCTAATGAAAGTGGCATTAGAGTCATTTAAAAAAAAATTAAAATCCTTATTTGGGCCATATGACCTAATTACGGATTTGAAAAATTTAATAACCCAAATAAAAATTTGGTATATTTAACCATCTTTTTAAGGGATCTTCCCTCATGTGTGTGTACGTACGTATGTATATATAACTTGAGATTTAAAATATATCAAATGTATTGTTTGAAGTTTAGAAACATATAGAATACAAAATCTGATTGATTTCAAAGAGGCTGCTGTATATGTATGTATGTATAATACATAAAAAGCATCTTTGAAATAAAAGTATAAACGCGAACTATTACAGATGCTTCCAATGAGGGCTCTCTTTTTGAATCTATGCACTAGAGAATTGGTACTCCTTTTTTTTTTTTTTTTTTCCCAAGCTCAGCAGAGTTTAGCGTAATCACTATTGCAATATAAGATTTTCTCAATCATCAAATGTAAGATGCTCTTGGACATGTTAGTGCCTAAATTGGGAGACGTACCAAGACAGCCATATTCCGTGGAAGATATGCAAACCACTCAAAAGAAAGATAGACCCCAACATAATTAAAGCCTCTAGGTGGCTTTACATTTTAAAAATATGAAATGCTAACTGTTATACAACAATAATTTTTGGAAAAAGAAAAGAGAGGAATCTCTCGAAAAAACTCAAATAAAAATTATCTATTATTGTGTATGTGTAGTTACTGATATGAGTATTGGTGTATTTGTTGATCTAATAGCTATATTTTCTTCTCAATATTCAATCTAAACCAAAAGAAACAATGAATGGAAAGAAAGGAGAGAAGCAAATATAAACTAAATAAGAAAATTAAAAAAAAAAGAAGAATGGTTCAGGTAGATGGATTGACAAGGCAGTAATTAATTTCAATGATCTACTACTCAGCCATTCCCCCGCCTCCATTATTTGTTCTTAACATGTTCTTCAACTAAGATCTCCAAAACCCAGCTAATACCTTGTCAAATAATTTCGGCCACAAAATTGAAACTCCAGCCAAGCTGTAGATATAATGTAATATATGATTGCAGTACGGTTCATATGCAGATGTGAAATGTAAGTACTGCATGATCATAATTTCAGCCATAAAAATAAAAGTTGAATCTCATTGGTGTGGTAAAAATCTGAGCAACCATCAAATGAATCTTATTGATGTTTTGAAACTTGGGCAACCAAAAAATTAATCTCATCGAAAAGCATAATAGAAAGGAGAAGAAGAATGAAGCGATATAAAGGCTGGTTCCCTCTCAGATATCCATCTCAGAAGCAAAATATGCAATTAACATCATCAACAGAAAGAGAACGATGAAAACCCATGAAAGTCAAGAAAATGTAAGCCAAAAATATGACCTTGCCTCTTGTTCTTCCCAGTGAACTCCGTAACTTGTGATGGAGAAGATGACCAAATTACCTTCTCTAAAAATCAAGAAACTCCGCAGTTGGGTATTTCTGAATAGTTTTTAAAAAACAAAAAATGGAAGAACCTAAAAACCAAAATCGCATGAGCCAGGCATGACGATGGGATTAGTTCACCTCTATTATCCTCGTCGCTGCTTCTTCGCCACTGCCATGGTCGCCATCTTCCACACCTTTTCACACTTTCAGAGTAACAATTTATACCACCCTCTAGTGCTTGGGGAAGAAAGACTTTGAATTTCAACTTTTAAATCTGGGTGAGAGGTGAAGATGAAGACTATAGGGGATTGAGACGTACGAGGAAGGGAAAAGGAAAACATGAAAAGGAGAGGAGGGTGAAGAAATTGACGGACGGAGATTGAGAGAGACGAGATAAGGGGATTTTTTTAATTTTGATCTTGAGGTGAGATAAAGAAATTTGAGAGAGGAGACGGCAAGGGAAGGGAAAGGAAGAAGGAAAGCTGCTGCACAATTAATGAATTAGGGAGCCAACAAGTTTATTTTTTAAAATTGTGAAGAAAAAGTTGTCTCAAAAAGATAAGAAGCTGACTTTTTTGAATGGTGAACCATGGAAGGAAAATTAATGTAACCATCAGCCAACATAAAGCCGAATGCATAACAATGACTCAGACAGCTTGAAAGAAACCCAAGGCATAAGTTTTTTTATTAACTACAGCTTATGAACAGTAAAATATCCCCAGAGCCTACGATAAGCCATCTAAGGATGTGGCTTGCAGGATTAGTTATTAGATATATATTGATGATTGATTGATATTGATATTAATGATACTAGTCATGAGAGAGAAATCAACAGATGTGTCTGCCAAAAATAATACTATGAGACTCCATCCTTTACAACATTTACAAAACAATTTTATAATAACAACTATTAGCATTATCAACTGTGAGGATTGAACTCAGAAAAGACTATAGAAGCTTCCCACAAGTTCCTGTAAAGTAATAGTTGTCAATAACTTATATGCAGGACGAAAAGAATTATGCATTTGAGTAGACCAGGTTCAGTTGCCTATGATACTCCCATAATACTCACAGCAACCAAAAAAAAAAAAAAAAACATACCAAAAAAAAAAATCCTCCAATATATACAAGTTGTTCATCATCAAAAGAGACTATCTATTTACTACAGCACCCTTGGGTAAGTTTTGAAGCATCAACGCTCTAGTTTTGCCATCAGGTTGAAGACCATTCTCACGCATTTTATCGTAGATCTTATTAGCCAAATTAATCTTGCCCCGCAAGCACATCCCTTGAACGGCAGTATTATAGAGAGAGACATTTGGTGTGGCCACCTGCAAAAGGAACAAATAACAGAAAGGTCAGATATTTGAGTCAGATATAGAACAAAAGGAGATGATTGTGGTGTTAAAAGAACGTGACTGATATTTATCCAGCAAACTCTTTTTAGCAGAGCAATAAATATCATTATTAGTTTGTTTAGCTTAGTAGACCCAAACAAGTTATTTCTCAGCTATTTGAAAATATTATCACCCACCTTCAGGATTTCCTCCACTTCTTGCCAGAGATCTCCCCAGATGCAACATCTAATCAGAGACAGATATGTAAATACATCTGGCTTGCACTTCTGATGAACCATACGCGTGTATACCTGCAATGCAATTTTTGGCTTCCTTGCACGTTCACAGGCTCTGATAACAAGATTATATGACACTGTCACAGCAGAGAGCCGAGCTTCCATCTGATATATAATCTGTAAAGCTCTATCCCACAACCCAAGCTTAGAGCATGATGCTAAAACAGTGTTGTACACATGTACATTCAACTGACATAATTCGTTCTCTTCAATCTTTTCAAAAAGTTGAAGAGAGTCAAAATGCCTGTTAGCCTTGTTAAGAGCACTTAATAAAGCATTGAATGTATATGCATCCGGTTTATGGCCAAACGATTTCATGACATCATGAGCCTGAAATGCTAGTTTGAGCTTCCCTGCTTTCCCCAGTGAGTTAATTAATGCATTGCATGCAACTAAGTTTGGATGAAGTCCTTCAATCACCATTTTCTGAAACACACCAAGGGCAGCATCCCATTTTCCCTCCTTAGCACATGCGCTAATGATAGCATCCATTGTACCAGTTCTGGGTTCAAAGCCATTCTGAACCATCTCAAAATAAGCATCAAGAGCTAGCTCAACCTGACCACACCGCACAAAACTGCTAACCAACAAGTGGTAAGTGACTTGACTAGGAGCGCACCCTTTTACCTTCATACTCCTCCAAATTCTCTCAATTTCAATCCATTCATGAAATTTTCCACAGATTGAAATCATGGTGTTGTAGACAACAGCATCAAAAATTTTCTCAATGTCATGTTCACTTCCTGATTCTTTGAAGGATTTAAGAGCTGAATGGAAGCCTTGAGCATTTGCAAGTCCAGTAAGCATCAAGCTATAAGTATGCCCAGTAGTTATCTTTCTTCTTCTAGTGAAATCAAAAACTTTTAAGCAATCATCAAACCGTCCATTTCTCAAAAGTGAAGATATAAGAGAATTACAGGCATGAATGGTGGGACAAAGACCCGACAATTCCATTGACCTGAAATATTCTAGAGCACTTCTGATCTTATTACGTCTGCTAAGAACCAAAATCCGATTAGATAGCACAGTCTGATCCACTTCCTCCAAAAGATGCACTTCAGGCTCATTAATAAGACCCATATCAATTGAAGCTGTCAAAGGAGTCTCCGTGGGTCTACAATCCTTTTGGTGCTCTTTATTTTCTTCTTCACAGGGCGGAAATTCCTTTTGATGCATAAAAGATGCATCAAATTCTCTTCCTTGAATATATCCATCTTCTTCTTGTTTCACACAATAAAGAGTATCAGCACTAGGAACAACCTTCACCCAGTTTTGGGGATTTATCAAATCTTGGTTCTTGACTTGTTGATCCAATTAAGAGTGGATTAAGTTGCTGCAATTTTGACTCTGCTACCGAAACAGTGCCACTGTGATATGCCATTGCATAGTGTCTGTTCGTTTGAGCTACTAACCCAACGTTAGGGCCAGGGCAAAAGGGCCTACTGACCCCGTGCGGACAACAAATAGGCTTGTGTAACTGAAGTTGAGAACTCAACATATCAGAAACATTTGGCCGGGCGAAAATTTAGCACGAGAAATTGAAATCAACCTCCTTTCCACCTTCTCGTTCCGTTTGGTTGCTCAAAGGGAAAGAACACATCAGCAGCTAGGGAAGAACGCTTCCTGCAAACGGAGAGATGTTTGCCTCCACGGGTGTGGAAAAGAATACAAATTTACGGAACTACCCATTAAGAAGCATTAAGAGACTGATAAAGAGGCATTGTTACCGGATTTGCCCAAAAGAGGGGGAATAGGTTGAAAATTTATTTGCACATTGAACATAAAATATTTCCATAGATTGACAAAGAGAACTTAATATTCTCGGCATTTTCAAAGATTAAAATTATTTGCAAAGAAGAAGCATAACACATTTGCACAGCCAAACAGTGGCAAACTTGTCCAGTCTAACTCAAACGAAAATCTTTGCTACACATGAATGTAATAGCCAAAGGGAATAACTATAATCGCATTATTGAAAGAATGGTTGAGAAGGGAGATATGGGAGAGTGGAATCTGAACCTTGAAGGAAAAAATTTCGCCCTCCAACGCAGCCTAAACCACCAGCTATTTATCGACTCTGCTACCGCGGTCACTTCCGCCGCCGATTCCCTCTTCTCCGTAATTCTCAGCCACCAGCAAGGTTGATGCACCGAGCTCCCCCACCCCTGGCTTGCCTAGTCGTTCTCGCCTAAATGACCGTACGCACTATTTTCGTTCACCTCCAGCACCACTGACACCGCCGGCCAAGACTACCTTTTCTCCATCAACCTCCCACTCGCCGGCTACACTTACTGCACCCAATTTCATCGCCAGGCCTAACCGTCAAACCTTGTTCTTTTTTTCTTCTTTTTTTGCATCATACGAGATAAGCCCTGCTTTTTCTTTTTCTTTTTTTTTTTTTTTTTTAAGAAACTCTTCGTAGAAAAAAAAAATTGCAAATTAACGGTTTTTTGCTTTAAGCCAATATATATATATATATATCAAGAGTCTCTTCGTAGAGAAAAAAAATTGGCCAAAAAAATTAAATGTTTGTTGAATTCGACAGCCTTAGTTAAGATTTTTTTAAAATTTTATGTGTCTTTATATGAGATTTTTTTAGGGAAAATGATAGCAAAATACCATGTGAATTTCAAAAAGATAAATAAGGCACCTGAATAAGCAAAAGGACAAATAGGGCACTAGGTACCAATTTGGAATTTAGATTTTTGGCCTAATGACCAAATTGCTCTGTCTGAAAGTGAGAGAAAGCAAAGAGGAAGACGCTGATGAAATACGGGAAGAAGGAAAAAAGAGTGTTGGAAATGCTATTATCTTACTCCTTTGCATCACTATTCTGTAGACATTGTTGATTTGGTGGGTTTTGGTTGTGGGAAAAAAGATTTGTAGTAAGAAAGGGAGTGAACCTGTGGGAAAGAAGTTGATGGTGGGATTTGGATTATTCATTTTTGTGACTGCTTCATGATGAAATAGTAACAGAATTATTGCATTTGAGGGTTTATATTCAGTATTCGGTGAATGATGAAGCAAAAATTAGAAAACAATGGCAAGCAATTACATAATGTAACTGTTGTCATATGCCTGCTGGTTTTTAGTAAATTTCATTACGTGAATGGTAGATTTTATTATACATGTGATTAATTATGAAAGTTAATAATTCAATATTTATTGTGACGTACTTCAGGTGCATGTTCACTGAATGATTTATTTATGCTTACAAGTTGCCTTTCCAGTGAAAACAGGTTTACAAAACACATTGAAGAAGTGGTCACTTTCACTATAAAAGTTGTAAATCACATTATGTGTTTTGTAAAATTCAGCGTGAAATTTTATTGATAGTGAAAAGTAAGTTACTCATCTCCCAAAAATATGTTGCAAAACCTATTAAGAAAGCGGTTACTTTTACTACAAAAGTTATAAATTCCAGTATATGTTTTGTAAAATTCAACATGAAATTTTATTGGTTTTTAGAAACAAGTTGCCTATCCCCTGAAAACTGGTTGCAAAAGCCATTTAAGAAGTGGTCATTTTCACTATAAAAGTTGTAAATCTCATTATGTGTTTTGTAAAATTCAGCGTGAAATTTTATTGATTTTTAGAAACAAGTTGCTCATCTCCTGAAAAGATGTTGCAAAACCCATTTAAGAAGTGGTGATTTTCACTACAAAAGTTGTAAATATCACTATATGTTTTGTAAAATTCAGCATGGAATTTTATTGGTTTTTAGAAACAAGTTGCTAATCCCTTGAAAACACGTCGCAAAACTCATTGAAGAAGTGATCATTTTTACTACGAAAGTTGTAAATTTCACTATGTGTTTTGTCAAATTTAGCATAAAATTTTATTAGTTTTTAGAAACAAGCTGCCCATCCCCTGAAAACAAGTTGCAAAACCCATTGAATAAGTGGTCATTTTCACTATGGAAGTTGTAGATCACACTATATGTTTTGTCAAATTTAGCGTGGAATTTTATTAGTTTTTACAAACAAGTTATTTATCTCCTGAAAACAAGTTGCAAAACCCATTAACAAAGTGGTTACTTTCACTACGAAAGTTGTAAATCACAATATGTGTTTTGTAAAATTCAGGACAAATGGTTTAATAATACTAGAAAACCAGACATCTTCACATTCTCTGAAAATGGTTTTATGCGAAGAACAGAGACAGAACCAAAAAGAGGAATGCTGGGCAATAACATTTTAAGCTGTGGGAACCCATCAAAAATGCTCTATGAAGAATAATATTTAAGCTTCCTACTTGTTTATCACAATTGATGTTACTTCAGTGACCTCTTCGACGGCGACAATATCAGGGAGTACGAGTTCTTTCAGACAGGGCGATATATTAACTTTCATAATTAACTACATGTATAATAAAATCTACCATTCACGTAATGGGATTTACCAAAAACCAACAGGTATATGACAGCAGTTACATAACGTAATTGCTTGCCACTATTTTCTGATTTCTGCTTCATTATTTACCAAATACTGAATATAAACCCTCAAATGCGATAATCTTGTTCCTATTTCACCATGAAGCAGCCACAAAAATGAATAATCCAAATCCCGCCATCAACTTCTTTCCCACAGGTTCACTCCATCTCTTACTACAAATCCTCTTTCCCACAACCAAAACCCACCAAATCAACAATGTCTACAGAATGGTGATGCGGAGGAGTAAGATAATAGCATTTCCAACACTCTTTTTTTCTTTTTCCCGTGTTTCATCAGCGTCTTCCTCTTTGCTTTCTCTCACTTTCAGACAGGTCAATTTGGTAATTAGGCCAAAAATCTAAATTCCAAATTGGTACCCAGTGCCCTATTTGTCATTTTGCTTATTCAGGTGCCTTATTTGTCTTTTTGAAATTCACATGGTATTTTGCTGTCATTTTCCCTTTTTTATTACATTATTTTATAATTTTTTCTATAGATAAATAATAGGAAAAATGACAAATAAAGACCCTTGAATTACCAAAATTACAAGGAAGTCACCTGAATAAGTCAAATTACTAAGAGGGACGTGGTCTCAAATTGCAATTAGCAAATCACACCTAAAAGACTAAAACACCCTTCAGTTACTCAGATTCAATAACGAAGGCTGACACTAGCAGGAGACCTCTTCTTTCCTTCTTCTCTGCGGACTTCCTCTCCCTCTCTTCTTCTTTCTCTTTCTTCCTTGGGTCGAAGCAACGTCTTCGTTGGGTCTCCTCCATGGCGAATCGTCTTGTGAGGGGCGAAGAGGGCTTTCGCAACTCCTTGCATAGGATATCGGCTGGTGGAGACAGGAAGGTGGTCAGTGATGGAGGAATGGAAGACTGGGGACGGTTTTCTGCAATTCTGAAACGGGGAGTGATTACGACCTTTTTGTTGAACAATGGTGGTCAGCCTTATGGATTGTTTTCTCTGTTAGCAAAGAAGAAGAAGGTTGAGTTCTTTAAGCTGTTGATAGAAGCTACAGGGTTCGCTGGTTTGAATATTTTGAAGATGGTCTGGTTGAATACTATCTTCTTTTTGTTTACTTATATCTGGGAATCGATAATCTCCTCATTTGATTTAGAGTTGCTGGTTGCTGTCAAAACACCTCTGGTTTTTTGTTATTTAATTTACTATTGTTGTAATTTTACTTAGTAGTATTGTAACTACAGATTGGTTAGTTTGATCACAGCAACATGGCATGACAATTTGAAAATGTTGGTATTTTGTTTATGGGCAGAGCAATGTTAACATTAGTATTTGTAGTTGTAAACAGTATCAATGTAGATCCATTTAATATTTTGAAATTCATGACTGAACTCCTCATTGACTTATAATTTCATTTACCACAGTTGTTATTTGACTTTCCACTCTTGTCAATTGATTTTCATAACTTGTCATTCGTCTTACTCAACTTGTCATAGATTACATATTAGAACTTGTCATCTGCTAAAAAAATTTAAAAATTTTGTCATTTGAAAAGAGAAAATTAAATTTTTATGAATTGTTTATCAGAAGTTGTTATTCGCCTTACTAAACTTGTCATTCGTCTTACTCAACTTGTCATTCGCCAAAGAAATCTAGAAATAAATGAAGTTATAATTTGATATACTTAACTTGTCATATATTATACTTAAATTGTGATTTTCTAAAGTCAAAAACAATCATCTTGTGATGATAGAATTGCAGTGACAAAAACACAGAATTTGTTACATTAAGTCCACCTTGGTGGACATTCTAAAACAAGTGATGAAGGGGGAGTTAAATATATTGGACGGAGTATAATGATCACTATTGTTGTAATTTTGCTTGCTAGTGTTGTTAATGCAAACTTTTAACTATTATGACAATAATGCAGTGATAGAAACACATGACAATCTAATAATGATGGTCTTTTTATATTGTGTAGAGAAATGTTAACATTTTTTGTTAATCAGTTCTATATTGTAATAATGTAGAGCTATTTAATGTTGTCTACTTAATTAAAAACGTGGTGACAGAAATGCAGTGACATAAACACAAAATTTCTATCATTTGCCTTACTGAACTTGTCATCCACTAAAGAAATCTGAAAATTCTGTCATTTGAACAGAGAAAATTAAATTTGGATGAAATGCTTATCAGAAGTTGTCATTTGCCTTACTAAAATTGTTATTTGCCTAACTAAACTTGTTATAAAGTGTTTATCAGAACTTGTCATTTGCTAAATAAAACTAAAATTGTCATTCGCCAAGGAATTGTGCAAATTGTCATTTTAACTCAAAATCTTAAATTCCTATGAGTTGCTTATCAGAAGTTGTCATACATCTTGCTAAATATTCTTGGCAAATGACAAGTTGAGTAAGACGAATGACAAGTTTAGTAAGACGAATGACAACTTTTGATAAGCAATTCATAAAAATTTAATTTTCTCTTTTCAAATGACAGAATTTTCAGATTTCTTTAGCAGATGACAAGTTCTAATAAGTAATTTATGACAAGTTGAGTAAGGTGAATGACAAGTTATGAAAATCAATTGACAAGAGTGGAAAACCAAATAACAACTGTGGTAAGTAAAATTATAAGTTGTGAGGAGGTTTGTCATGAATTCAGAACATTAAATGGATCTATATTGATACCATTAACAACTATAAATACTAAATGTTAACATTGTTCTGTCCATAAACAAAATACTAATATTTTCAGATTATCATGTGATGTTGTTGTGATCAAACTAACCAATTTGTAGTTACAACACTACTAAGTAAAATTACAACAATAGTAAGTCAAATAACAAAAAACCATAGGTGTTTTGACAGCAACCATTTTCTACAAGATTCAGTGACAAGTGTATC